TGTGGGCGTGTAGAGGGTAGAACCTGAGGCGGGACATCGTGCGCAAACTCTGATGTTTGGATATGATTTATAAAAGGAAAGATGTGCAGAAACGTGTGTACGCACTGTTTTATAAATCTGAATTTTTTTTGACGTACGCCATTTCCGCCTTTTGGCCGTACGTTCACTTTTAGTATGGTTTCCACGCAATCCTTTATAAATGAGACCCCAGGTTTAATGTAAACTTTTTACAGATCTAGTTTAATGTAAACTTTTTACAGATCTGGTTTAATGTGAGGCTTCTTTTTGCATATAGCGACATACTTAGCTTGGTGCTAATTTTAAAAACAATGCCTGTCTTTGTATCAGTCCCAACACAGACTCCAGTGTGGAGCAGATTAAGGGGTCAGAAGGTGTCATGTAGACCTGACCTCTAAACTGAAAGGTCCTTGACCCCCTGGGGGCCCCTGGCTGACACTAATGAAGGCCTGCCAGAATCATCCTAACTGAACATCAGTGAGCTTATTATAAATATGGCAAAGGACAGCGGTGAGCCACAGGCTGTTTCAGGTATTCATCCACACCTGGTTTAGAGAATAACAGGTATGTTAACAACATGTTCAACACAATTTTAAATAAAACTAATTATTTTTGATTGAAAGAATTTTAATAGAACTTTCAAATTATAACAAAATCAGATATCTGTGTTAAGAAACATGAATTTTTTGCCGTTTTAAATGAGAAACATTTGGGATTTTAAATTCATGAATTTTCACTGGAAAGTTGTCAAATTTAAATTTCCAGTGAACAATGTAAAAAGTTGTCAAAACAATTATTAAATATTACCTTGAAACCAATCTTTGTTCTGAACTTTTTAAATGTTTAGAATGACAATAATCGTTAACGTTTCCTAAATTCATAGTAATAATCCTGAATTCAAACAAAAAATTGAGTTTGTTACTGCAGACAGTTATACTGTTTTTACCTTTTCTGCAGTTTGCTGTTGAAAAAAAATTCTAATTAGTTGAATTGTATTTTATTTATTTATTTATTTATTTGAGTATATGCAGTTTAAAACAGGAACCAACGATCTATTAAGTTGTTTTTTAGAGGTTAAGATCTGAATTACGCCTCCACGATCACTCAGAGGAAATAAACAAGAACACTGTACTTCTGCACTTTTCTCATTTATGATCAACACAAACCACAGATTACAGCTGAGTCAGCACCGAGAGCAACATACTGTGTTTATTTATTAACCAGGCAAATTCCACGAGAACACAGATCTGTTTGTCAGCAGGGGCAGCTTTAAAAAACACGCAGGTTTATGAATGTCAAAACCAGAGAAAACCCATGAAGCAACAGTGCTGCTGACCACTGATCCACCGTGCTGAATTAATGAGTTTGTTGCAAATGATATCATCATCCTAATTTATTCTAATCTCTGCAGCCTTGATTTAAGGCTCCTGACAGATGAGGAGTCACGGGCCCTCTGCAGGAGGAGACAGGGGGATTCCAGATACCTTACAGGTAGGAAATGAACATGACAGCAGTATTTATACTGATGTATTTATGTATTTATACTTCTGCTGCACGTGCTCAGGAACAACACACCTGATAAAATGCTGTCTGAATAAAAATAATAATAATA